GAAAAAATCCAATCTCCACTCAGTGTGATTCAATTTTTAAAGTGTAGAGTTTTTTTAAGCCAAATTTATACAAAGTTTAATAAATCAAATGGTCATGTATCAAAAATACCAGTTGCTTAACCTCCTTTCCTACTCCCCTGAGCCAATGACTTTTAACTTTTATTAAATGAGTCTTTTGGTATTTACCTCCATAGCTCTAAACCAGATGGTATATCGATACTTTCTGATTTTGTCCATGTTAGGCATTATGTATTGACTTTCCAAAGATTTAGCTCTGTTTACCCCACCCTCCCCCTTACCACACACACGTGTTCACTTCCCATCCCCCCAATCTTCCCACAGAGTTATGTCATACTTGGTTGTATCAACGTCCAGTCTTCACATTGTGATGACCGTGTGGTTCACACCTGAGTCACTTAAGATAACCATGATTTTCCCCCCTTCCCTCCATAGCTTTTTATATTCCACTGGAATTAATAATTGATCCCTCCCATTTATTTAGTTACATTTTTGATACTTTATCACCAGTCTAAGCTATAATTCCCCCCCAATTGTGTAAACCCCCTCTCAAGAGTTTCACACACAATCCTATCAGTGTCAAGTGCTTGAATAAACCTTTCCTGGAGTTTTTTGACTAGCTCCCATCTGAACAAGGTGCTTTTTGTGCCTGGTACGTGTGATGGTCCACCTGGGGTTTTCTTTTACCGTGATTTTGGTGATTCCGGTTGCCTGCCTCTTGTGTTGGAGTTCCCATTTCTTGGATCTAACATCTTACTCGCTAGGCTTCCTCCCTTGTTTTGGTGGAGCGCATCCTTTAGCAGCTTCCTGAGAGAGAGGATGAGGCACTACCTTTTCTGGGAAACTCTGCATTTCTGAAAATGTTTGATTCTCTTGTCATACTTGTTTTCTTTTGGTCATTTGGGTATAGAATTCTAGGCAGGAAACGATTTTCCTTCAGAAGGCATTATTCCCCTGACTTCTGGTTTCCAGATTGGATGGTAACTCTGATGACATTCCATGCCCGCTTTTTTGGAAGGTGTTTTATGAAACCTGATTTTTAATCTCTGAAAACCTCTCGGTGCTCTTTCTTGTCCCAGTTTTCTGAAATGTCCTGGTAAAGTATAATTCAACTCCATTTCTACCAACAAGTACTGAGAGCATGTGCTGTATGGATTATCCTACCAAATTCTCCAAGGTACACAAAGATATACACAAGTCCTTGAGGACCTGGAAATGTACGGGAGTATGGGAGATAAGGGAAAATAGGATTTGGTGAGGTTGCGCTACATAACACATACAAGATTTGTAAGAGGCACATTTCCACAAATTCCAAGCGTCGGTATTTTTTAAGAGGAACTGATCCAGAATCTCGATCTGATTCATTCATTAGCAATGTAGCCTTCCTACGCACTCAACAAATTCCATGCCTCACACATCTGCAGCCCCTGCTTATCCGGTGGGACATTGTGACTTCAAGTCCTGCTTTTGTTGCCGGGAGTAGTTGTTCGCCTCTAGAGGGCAGACTTTGCTGCTATTCTGCTGAAGGCGAGGAAAGCTTGAGTTCAATGCCAGAGGGTCCCTCAAGCTCCCTGGGGAATCAGTTGGGATAGAACAAGGAACCAGGGCCCCCCTTCAGGAAGCAATCTCTAAAATGTATTTCTCCTTCCCATTCAAGGTGTACCTATAGATAGGACATATCTATCTATCGATAGACAGATGTAACTCGTAGTAAGCTGCTCAGTAAATGTTTTCGCAATGGATGAACACAGAATATTTCTCTTTATGTACTATCTACCCAACATTTATATAGCTGTCCATCCCTGGAGGGAATCAGCCAAGAGACAGCACTACTGTGGTGGCTCCCAGATTATTATTACTGAAAACAATTTTGCAGATATTTTTAATCCTCATTTTATAGACCAGAAACTGAAGGATAGAGAGGTTAGTAAGCTGAATCCAGACCTCACGTTAGATCCTTAGATCCAACTCACTCTACCACAAAAGGCAACCCCAAATATCACTGGAATGGCAGGTTAGACCACTTGGGATTTGTCACCAAACTGAAGCATTTGTTACCCCAGAGGAGCACACGGTGGGGGAGAGGAGGTGTGCTGGGTGGAGGGGAGCTCACAGAACCATATTGTTGCTTGTTTTGATGCTAAGTAGCTGTGGGGCTCTGAGTTACAGGCTCCAACTCTCTGGGCCTCAGTTTCCATATCTGTGAGATGCAGTTAAGAATACATTGTAGGATGTGAGGGCGATCTGGCTGCGACATCTGTCACCCCATTGATCGCCAGGGTTGATTCGGCTGATCTGGCTGGCTAGGCGGGTGTCCCCTTCCTCCCTCACCGCTCCATGTGCGTCCCTCCCGAAGCTGCGCGCTCGGTCGAAGAGGACGACCTTCCCCGATAGAGGAGAGGACCGTTCTTCGGTCAAGGGTATACGAGTAGCTGCGCTCCCCTGCTAGAACCTCCAAACAAGCTCTCAAGAATACATTGTAAAGGGGCACCTGGCTGGCTCAGTCAGTAGAGCATCTGATCTTGATCTTGAGTTCAAGCCCCACACTGGGTGTAGAGATTACTTTAAAAAATTAATAAATTTCTTTATTTTCTCTTCTTTTTTTTTTTAAGATTTTATTTATTCATTTATTTGAGAGTGAGAGAGAGAGAGAGAGAGCACATGAGAGGGGGGAGGGTCAGAGGGAGAAGCAGACTCTCGATCCCGGGACTCCAGGATCATGACCTAAGCCAAAGGCAGTCCCTTAACCAACTGAGCCACCCAGGCGCCCTTTCTTTCTTTTAAAAAAGAATGCATTGTGAAGAGTTGGAGAGAGGTCCATGATGATCTAGGAATAAGCAGCAGTGAGAAGTCTTAGAAGGCCTTCCAAGAGAATGGAGGTTCTGTGCTCCTTGGAGAACGATGGGAAACACTGCTGGAATTTTGAGAATGGGGACTGTTAAATTAGTGTAGAGATTCTTCGTGGGTATGAGTTTTCTCTCCAAACATTCCATTATAATCCAAGGCCCCATAATTTCTGCCAAAAAGTGGATGCCTCCCGTGTTCCTCCTCCTGGGAACCAGGGGCTCAGGCCCCACAGGGGTGCTCAAACTTGGCTCCCTGCTGAGGTCACCTGGGGAGATTTTTTTTTTTTAAAGATTTTATTTATTTATTTGACAGAGAGAGATACAGCGAGAGAGGGAACACAAGCAGGGGGAGTGGGCGAGGGAGAAGCAGGCTCAGAGCCCGATGTGGGGCTTGATTCCCAGGACCCCGGGATCATGACCCAGGACCCCGGGATCATGACCCAAGCCGAAGGCAGACGCCTAAAGACTGAGCCACCCAGGCGCCCCACCTGGGGAGCTTTAAATGGGCAGATGCCAGGGATCCACTCTTAACGAACCTGATTTGGGTTGTGGCCAAGGTACTGGGAATGTTGAGTTCCCCATGTGATTCTAATGTTCAACCCAAGTTGAGAACCACTGCCCGGGGCTTTAAATTCATTTTTTGTTTGAAAATTTAAAAAGAAAACAAAAGGAAAGCAGTGGCACCCAGTGGTTCTCAAACTTTTATGTGCAAACAAACAGATCACCTGGAGATCTTCTAAAATATAGCCTCTAATTCAGGAGGTCCAGGTAAGCTAGGCTTCTGCCCTTGTAAGGAGCTCCCAGGGGCATGCCCACACTGCTGTCCCTAGACAGCATTTGAGCAGCTAGGCTGTAGCTTGAATGAATACGTAGACTTGCCAGGGAACCATGGCTCTTCAAGCCAGCTGGGATCTTAAGAAGTCACTTCACTTTTTGAGCCTTAGTCTTCTGATCTTAAATGCAGGCAAGCCATAGTACCTACATCATAGATTTCTCGTGATGCTTTAATGACATAATGTAGTAAACATGTTTGGCACGAAACAACAAATGTTAGCCTTTGAATTATCAGGATAGCCAACACTCATGGAACGCTTACCATCTGCCAGGAATTTTCAAAGCACGTTCATGTCCTACATCATTCAAGCTTCAAGACAACACTGTGAGGTGGGTACTTATGATTTCGCCATCCCTATTTTATGGATGAAGAAACCGAGGCAGAGAGGTGGAGTATCTTAATTTACATCACACACCTGGGAGTAGCTAGGCTGGTGTTTGAACCCAGGGAGAATCTCGGCTCTTATCCCTCTTCCCTCTCTGGGGCTGAAATGGACGCTGCGAACAGGCATTTCTGCCCTGCAGGCCTGACACTCTGGAGGCGATGACTTGAGGGATTACCCTCTGTAATGGGGCTGGGATCAACAGGTGGCAGCCCAGGGCTACTTAAAGACCACATAGCGCCGGGTATTCCATCCCACAACGCCGCCACTAAAGACTCTCCAAACTCCTGGAGGCTGCGCTCCACCCGCAGGTGCTCGCCTAGGAAGCTGCCCAGGGACCGACAGGAAAGAAGAGGCCTGCCTCACAGGTTCACATCTGAGTTCCCCATTAAATGACCACGTCCGCAGGCAAAGCAACGAGCAAAACGAGTTTCCGCAATTCGCGTTTACCCGAGGAGCGCAACCAGACCGAAAAATCTACAAATCTCTTTATACCGAAAGTTCAACAAGGATCTGGGGGCTCAGCCAATTGGTAAAAAGTCGGGAAGCCCTCTTGAATTTCCCCAGAGCACTCTGGAGGCGCCGGTCATCGGTGCCCACGAGCAGGGGATGGGGACCCGCACCGAGGAGACGCCATCTGTGGGATTACCTCGGGAGAATTTAGGGGATTTTTTTCCTGCGGGGTCCCCTGGGAGAGGCAAATGAATCTGAGGGGCAGCGCGGAGGGTGGGGGTTAACCCGGCGGTTTCCATGGCACCCGGGGCGTGGGGGAGGAATGCACCCCGCAAGCTGTGGCGAAACAACTGCGCAGCCAGACCAGCCGGGCTCGAGAAGGCGGGAGGGAAGGGGGGAGCAGGAGGGTGGGGGAAGCCCGGCTGGACGGGGGTGGGGCGGTCACGTGCGCCCGAGGGGGCGGGGCCCCAAGCCACCCCGGAGCGGAACCGAGTCCCACCTAGAGGCTCCCGGCTAGGCGTGAACTTTTCTCCAGGACCGAGGGACTGAACTTGGCCTGAACCCCTGGGAAGGACTCAAGGCACCCGTAGCCAGCACCGGGCTGAGGTGTCTGCGGCCGGCCTAGGGGACAGCGGTCGGTGGCAAAAGACACCAAGGAAAAGTGGGAACAGAAGCTTGGGGGTGAGTGAAGGGATTTCGTCTCGCAGTTTTTACGCAGGCTCGGGTCTCCGTGTCTTCTGGGGTGGGCCTGGGCAAGTGCCCTGTCGGCTCTAAGGGAGCCGCCGAGGCCACTGTCCCTTAAGACTGCCGGGGTCCTCAGCACGTGTCTCGGGCTCCAGGAGAGGCTGTGGTCATGGTGAATGAAGAGCCCAACCAACAGGAGCACGATGGCAGCCCAGCGCAGGAGCCTGCCCTGCGCGCGGACCCCAGCACCTCGGCCCACCCCAGCGTCTCCATTCACCCCAGCGTGTCGGCCCACCCGAGCGTGTCCATTCACCTCAGCGTGTCAGCCCACCCGAGCGTGTCGGCCCACCCCAGCGTCTCCATTCACCCCAGCGTGTCGGCCCACCCAAGCAGTTCGGCCCAACCCGGTGGCTTGGCCCAACCCGGTGGCTTGGCCCACCCCAGTAGCTCGTGCCCCGAGGACCTTAGCGTGATCAAGGTGAGCAAGCGCCGCTGGGTGGTGGTCCTGCTCTTTAGCTGCTACTCCATGTGCAATGCCTTCCAGTGGATCCAGTACGGCTCCATCAATAACATCTTCATGAACTTCTACGGGGTCAGTGCCTTTGCCATCGACTGGCTGTCCATGTGTTACATGCTGACCTACATCCCTCTCATCCTGCCGGTTGCCTGGCTGCTGGAGAAATTCGGCCTGCGCACCATCGCCCTCACCGGCTCTGCTCTCAACTGCCTGGGGGCCTGGGTGAAGTTGGGGAGCCTGAAGCCACATCTCTTCCCAGTCACCGTCCTAGGCCAGATCATCTGCTCTGTGGCCCAGGTCTTCATCCTGGGCATGCCCTCCCGCATTGCTTCTGTCTGGTTCGGGGCTAATGAGGTCTCAACGGCCTGCTCCATAGCTGTCTTTGGCAATCAGGTGGGTCGAGGAGTTGGCGGGTGTTCAGAGGAATGGGCATCATATCATTGTGAGGCTCACTGTGTTGGGTTGTACCTGAGGGCACCTGAGTGTGTGGGAGCCTGTGGTTTTCTGACCTTAGCAGTGTTTGTGACCCTGGGGGACTTCATGGCTGGGCGGGAGTGAGGGATTGTGACTGGATGGCTCTGTAAGAGAAGGTTAGGGGAACAGAAGGAGACCTTTTCCTTCACCGACAGTTTCTCCTCCCCCAGCAGAAAGCATGCTTCTGGAATGTCCTCGGGTTTATGATCTCCTTCCTGACCCCGTCAGTCTGATATAGGAAAGACGTTATTAGGGTTCGAAGCCAACGGCCAAGAAAGAATTCTTGAGACGTCTTTGGTGCAAAAAGGTGATTTTATGAAAGCCCGGGGACAGGACCTGTGGGTAGAAGGAGCGGCAATGGGGTCATGAGGAGTGGCCCGTTATATACTTTCAAGTTGGGAGGGGGTTAGGGGTAGCGTTAAGTCACTAAAGAATGTTGGAAGCAAGGTTTCTAGGACCTTGAGAGCGCTGGCTATTGTTGGGAAAAGGTCATTTATTACTGTCTAATAAAACCTTAGTCATGAGACCCCTCAGATGTATATTGGTGGGCCATATGCTTGGGGGATGATTGCCAACATGTATCTTGGGGGGGGAGGTTAGAGATAAAGGAAGTTTCCAAAGGAATTTTTAATACGTTAAAGTAGACTTACAGGATCCTGGGGGAAGGGGGGGGGGTCAGACTAGAATTGCCTTTTGGCCTTAGCAAAGTATTAACATTGAGGCAGCTGAGTCCCTAGAGGAATGTCACTCTGCCTGTTTCAAGGACTTGTCAATGGGCTGTAGGTAGTGAGGAAATTTAATAATTTTTCTTCTGCCTTTGTTTCCCACACCAAGTCCACTGGCTTAGACCTGTGATTTCAGGAAAGCTATTCTTTCTCAGGGAGCAGCCCATGGGCATCAGATTATTCTGGGATTGTCAGAATTTGATGGATATTTTTAGCCTGACTCACCAGCTTTCCTAGAGTGCTGTATCTCCTGTACTAACGTAGAATCACGGAGTGCTGGCTTGGGGGTGTTTGGCCCCGTGCTTACCTTCTTTTATACACAGCTGAAGTGAGGACAGTGGAAACAGTGCTCTGGGCCCAACTGCTTCCCTGCGGATTAGAGCCAAGCCTAGCAGGATGGAGTAGAAATCTCTCGCTGTATTTCCAAGGCCTAGAAACCTTTTTGGAAAGGCGTAGAAAGCTCCTATCTCAATCCCTTTTCTTTCTTTCTTTTTGGAAGGAGGATCTATTCTTTGCATCTCAGTGAGGTTATGACCCAAACGTTGGGCATGTTATTGATGGGATTTTGGAATATAGGTGAGGTTCAGTGGGGCAGGGTCCGGAGCCGACGACTAAGAAAGAATTCTTGAGATGCCTTTGGTGCAAAATGGTAGTTTATGAAAGCATGGGGACAGAACCCGTGGGCAGAAAGAGCTGCTGCCCCGGGGTTGTGAGGGGTGGCTGATGATATACTATGGAGTTGGGGGAGGTAAGGGAAAGGGAGGTTTCAAAAGGATTTTTGTATGTTAAAGAAGACTCACAGGATACCAGACGCCTTGCCATTGTCAAGTTAAGGTTGTTTACCCCACTAGTAAGACATTAACATTAAGATAGTTGGGAACTTCCTGGAGGAACATTACACTCTGCCCACTTCAATTATCTGTCAATGGGCTGCAGGTTATAAGGGCATTTAATTGTATCTATTTCCCTGTGGAAGCTAGGTTATTGTAGGAATGCTTTGTTCTTGTAGATTGCTAAGACATTTGTAAACTGAGGGAGACTCATGTCTTGTAGGATTGTGATCGCTATAAGTTAACTATTTGTTTTTCCTTTGGGGCAGCCAGGAGTGCCTGAGGAATGTCACATAGATCCCATGGGGGGAGGGGTGTTGTGGGGTGTCAACTTCTGCTTTGTCCTCAGCTTGCCTTCTGTTCTGTCATCATTATGACTGCCTTCTCCAAATATTTGAAGCAAGTATTTATGGGGTCCTTCTCTATCTAGACCACTGCCTCCAGGTCCCACTTCTTCCCAAGCACCTGCAGTTGTTTTCATTTTATTTTATTTAACACATGACCAGTAACCCTTAGTTCTTACTTTTTCCCTTATAGGAGGGTAAAGCTGGGAGGTGAAGGGCAGGACCTTTCTCACTTCCCAAGGGTTAAATCTCCCTATGAGCAGCAGAACGGGATTCAGTGCAATCTCGATCCCATTGTTTTGGGGAGAGCAGGATCGCTACGTGGGAGAAGCCCCACGGGTGGCCTGGTAAGATCCGAGAATCCATAATGTTTCTGTAAACCATAAAGCATAAACGAATAGGTTTTCAGACCCCTCCTTACACACCTGTGAGGGAACTTGACACCAGATAAATCTTTAAAGTTTAATAAGACTGTTTACTCATTCCCCACCCCCACTCCCCACCAAGGTCAGGAAATGCTAAGAATTTTACATTTAAAAACACTCTGACAGCATATATTTGTATCACGGAGCCATCTATTCAGTTTGATCTTTTCGTCTTAACGCTAGAAAAAATGTGTGGAAAAACTGAATTGGTAATGCTTCCTCACCGTCAGGATGAATATCTATGTTTCATTCTTGGCATGCGTTTTAACCTTTCTTTCTGAGTAAGGCACAGCTGAATGGAGGAGAGATAGTATTAGAGTAGTATAAAGAGCTTTGCCGCTTAGGAAAAAAGGCTCCCCAGAGCTGTCTAAACAGACTTCAAATGCTGTTCCACAGAATAATTCTTCTTGGCCTACAAACCTCACACTGATCAGCTAAACTCTGTAGTCTGATAATTCTGACCTCCTTCTTCTATGCCTCTTACGTACTCCACACGTGCACCAGCCCTGCTTGCATCAAATTCATCATTCATTCATTCATTCATTCAACAAGCATTCACCTAGTGCCTCCCATTTGCCAGGCATTGGGCTAGGGCTACAGAGATAATCCCTGCCTTTGCAGAGTTCCCATACCAGATTTTAAAATTGTACCAGGCACTAGGATTCCGATAAACAAATAAATAAACAAAAGCCTAGATCAGTGTATAAAGGATTTATTTTCAGTTCTCCACGAGATTTTTAGTATCTTCTTTGCCCAATTGCTTAGAAAAATTGAAGGGGAAGGAAGCTAATATCTATCACACACCTATTATGTGCAAGGCACTTTCTTACCTATTATTTAATTTTTCAACTCTATGAGATAGGTGGAATTGTCCCTGTTGTTATGGGGGAGGAAATTGAGACCCAGATAAATGTAGCAAACTTATCCAGGGTCCTACAGCTACTAAGCGGTAGAAGGGAGATTTGAATACAACTCCACCTCCAAAAGCCCATGTCAATAAGCCAATACTGAGTTGTCATGTGGATAAAGCGTATATTTTTTATTTTAGAATTAAATTTTTAAAATAATTTTTAAATTTTGTCCATTAGTTAATTGGTTTTGGTTTTTTAAAAGTAGGCTCCATGCTGGGCGTGGAGTCCAAGGCAGGGCTTGAACTCACGACCCTGAGATCACGACCTGAGCTGAGATCAAGAGTTGGACACTTACTGACTGAGCCACGCAGGTGCCCCTAAAGCATATATTCTAAAAAAGGGGGAGGGCAGATTGTGAGGTTGGAATTTTGCCCCTGTGTCTTGTTGGTGGTGGTGATAAAGTATCCAGCAGTTTTCTCCAGAATCTGAGAACCTCTGTATCTGTCTTGTTTTGAAGTGCCTGGCGTTAGTACCGTCTCCCCACCCAGGGTGTTGTAAACTGCTAAAGGGCAGATTCTGCCTCTTTGAGCCTAGCAAGAGTCACAAGAAGGTGGGGCTCCGGTCTTTGGGAAGAAGAAACCAGTGAGTCCTCAGCTGGGGTGAGAGAGGGAAGGAGTCTTAGAATTGCAACAGAGCCTCTTCCCTTTGTCTCTGGCCAGTTGCACAGGTGGTGACAGCCTGACATTTGGCAATACTTGTTGTATGGCTTCCAGGGAAATGGCCCGTGTGGGCTTTTGAGTGATGTGGACGATGTTATAGTGGAAGGATTGGCAGAAAACCCTGTCTTAGAGTCTGGTGATAGCTTGGTGGCACTGGACGGGAGAGATGTGGGAGCTTGAAGGGACCAAGTCAGTTCCAGCCCCTATGAGGAGCCTACAGCACCAGGGTGGGGAGGGACTTCCTCAAGGACCCCTGGGCAGCTGAGAGCCCACTGCCTACCAGAAAGAGAGTAGGAGAGAATGTTTGCTTTTCAAGTTATGAAAATATAGGAGTCTCCCCTTACCCCGGTTTCACTTTCCATGGTTTTAATCCCCTGCAGTCAGCCTGGAAACGGATGGTCCTCCTAACCTCTAAGAGGGTCATCCATAGCCTAACACGATGTCACAATGCCACATCATTCCCCTTGCTTCATCTTATCACATAGGTGTGTTATTTTTGAACATCATCGTAAAAAGGGTGAGCATGGTACAATAAGCTGGTTTGAGAGAGAGGTGACATTCACATAACTTTTGTTACAGTATATTGTTACAGTGGTTCTATTTTATTACAAGTTATTGCTAATCTCTTACTGTGCCTAATTTACAAATTGAACTTGATCGTAGGTAGGTAGGTATAGAGAAACATGTAGTACAGACAGGGTTCAGTACTATCTGCAGTTTCAGGCATCCTGTGGGGGTCTTGGAATATATCCCCTGTGGATAAGGGTGGACTTACCTGTCTAGCAGTCATCTTACAGAATCCGGTGTGTAGTGGCCATGCTGTTTGGGCTTTCAGAAATAGCACCACCCAATAGAAACATAAGGCAAGCCACATGTACAACTAAATTTCATACTAGCTACATTAAAAACAGGTGAAATTAAATTTTTTAAAAAGTGCAGATGAAACTAGTTTTACTAGTATATTTTATTTAACCTGAAAAATCCAAAATAGTCTTTCAGCATGTAATCAGTATAATAAAATCACT